GTTTGCGCGGGAGTATTAGACCCAATGGATCTTCCTATGTTATGCAGCTGGCCCATAAGGATACGAAGCCTGTTAACAAGCCCACATCCAGCTCAACTCTCTCTGTAACGGTAGCAACAACACCAAGACAAAACAGAGGAAAGGTACACGACAAAGTAGGAGTCTCACCAGCTGGTCAAATCATCCTTAGCAACCGCTTCGACACGCTATTGGAGCAAGGAGAGTGAACTGTCAGGGCTAGCTATCAGGTCTCAGATTCATCTATATCATTTTATAACTAATGGACCTTATGGTTGTAGGAAGTTAAGTTAATAAAATCGTAAAACTTCAAGTTTATTGTCTGAGATCTCCTATACTCTTTTTTACCTTCAGTGAGAACGATAAAAAGATCCGAATAAAGAAGAGATGAAGGAAAGACCAAAGAGGTGAAGGTGAGACTGAAAATGAAAAGAACATGAATTTTGGTCCAATTAGTGGACACTTTTCACGACGTATCAAGAATAGTCATGAAGAAGATACGTGAAACGATCTGTGAGATAATGATCCAAGATTATAAATAGAAATAATGGAATTCAGCCCCTCACAACGAAAGGGCTACGTTATTGAGATTTGATGAGAGCTTTGAGAGTCATCCAAGATTACAATATAGAAGATTTAGGTAATTTCTACGAATAACTAGCGAATTAAACTCGAATAAAACAAAAGGACTACATAGAAACTCGACTAAGGAAAAGACACGTATAAGAAATTTTATTAAGGAAATGAAAATAGTTTAAAAACCTTAAAACATGTATTTACAAACCTTCAAATGAATAATGATTTCCTATTTTGTCTTTGAAGATTTTCCTATACCTATAAATAGGGATGGGCAAAAAAATCAAACCGAACCGAGTCAAGCCAAACCAACCAAACCAAAACCGATCCATGCCAAACCAAAGTCTATTATCAAATAGTTTTTTTTAAGATTTTCCCAACCTGAACCAACCGAACCGAAACCGATCCGAAACGAACCAAGTTAAAACCGAACTGAGAAATTAGTGTGTTTTATTATTATTTAAATTAAACATACTAACAATATACAATATACTAAAATCCTAAAACTAAATTCACTATTAACTTTATTAATGATGTTGAATGTTTCCCATTTTCTTTGGTTAACTTCGATTTGATTGTGTTTTTATAATTGAATTTAATTTAGGGTCCGATTGGTAATGGCTGTAACTTTAAAGTTTTTGCTGTAGAAAAAAATCTGTAGACTTTTTGATATGGCTTTAGATTTTATTGCTGTAGATTTTTTGGAAAGCACTACAAAATTGCTTTGGATATCTACATAGCACTTGTAGATATATTTAACGCTATTTTACATGGAATTGGAAGCGGGTACGCAGAAGCAGAATCATATAGAAATACATAAGCAAAGTTTTTCAAAAAAATAATTAGGAAGTGGATATGTGTTGGAATCGTATATATACACATATATATATATTAAATATAATAAATTTTAATGAATTAAAATTTATGATTCAAATTAAATGAAATATTTTTTCATTTATAGCAATTTTAAATGATTTCATATTATAATTTTGAAAATGTAAATAAATTAAGTTTATAAAATTCATTATCCAATTATATATTTTAATATTTCATAAATAATTTTCACAATATGTTTATATATATATATATTATATCTCTAATTAAAATCCAGTGTATAAAGATAATTTATAGTATTAGAATTCTTTTTTTTGATCAAAAAAATAGTATTAGAATTCATATTTTCATATCATTGACCAAATTGACGTAGTCTTGATTATTATCCACTCAATCCAGAGTTCGTTATCCGAGTTGCGAGGTATCACTTAGTCGGAATAGTTGTACACTTGTACTTACGGACAAGCCATGTAAATCTTGTCAACTAAATCCATTTTTAATCTATTTTAGTGGGCCAAATTTCTATAGTAAATCAGGTTTCAATAGTTGTTTCCAGCCCATTAGCTGACTATTGTTCATCCTTAATAGGCTGAAGATTATAAGAGCACCTCCAATAGTATTGTTACTCACCATTGGAGTCCTTAACAATAAAGTAAGTATTTGTTTTTTTTGAATAGTTAAGGATTGTAATTTGAATTTGTCCTCCAATGGTGTTACCCATTATGAAGTTCTTAGTTTTTTTTTCTTTCTTAATTTCTAAAACATTTAAATATGAAATTTTTATTTATTGAAAGATTAAATGTAAACATACAATAATTAAACATCTTCATCATTATCAAACTTGTTTCAAATATTTTCGATCAAATCATATTTCAATTGTTCATGTATACGCCGATCACGAACATAATTCCATACGCCAAGCATATTACCGAGATTTGAAGGCATGTCAGTAGTAGAATATGACATATCCGCCTGTGAACTTCTACTCGAGTCTCCTTCTTCAAACTTGGATGTATCATACTGAGAGTATCCATTGCGTTCATGTTCTACTATCATATTATGCAGTATGATACATGTTCGCGTAACTATCCCCATTTGTCTCTAATCCCACAAATTGCCGGATTTTGTACTATCGCAAATCGAGCTTGCAATACTCCAAAAGCACATTACACATTTTTCCGGGTTGCTTCTTGAACTTTTGCAATTAACTTTGCTTTAGGACCTTGAGGGAGTGCGATAAATTGGATAAATGTTGACCATTTTCGATATATGCCGTCCGTGAGGTAGTACGCCAAATCATACTGGTGTCCGTTGACCACGTATTGTACCCTTGGAGCTCCACCTTGTAAAATGTCATCAAAAATAGGAGATCGATCGAGGACGTTAATATCGTTTAACGTACCCGAAGGATAAAAAAAAAGTGTGCCAAATCCAAAGGTCTTGTGAAGATACAGCCACCAAGACAATTGTCGGCTTTCTTGATCCACGTGTGTGCTGTCCTTTCCAAGCGGTTGGTCAATTTTTCCACTCTCAGTGCATACAGTCGATGCTTCCTATCATCCTAGGAAAGCCGCATATCTCTCAAATATCGATTAGTCGTTGAAGATCCTCTGGAGTCGGTCTTCGTAGATATTCATCCCCAAATAACTGTATTACGGCTTCTTTGAAAATGCTTAAACACGAAAGTGCAATGCTTTCACCAAGTCGAAGATATTCGTCAACGGCGTCAGCTGCACAACCATAAGCAAGCATACGAATAGCTGCCGTACATTATTGTAGTGGAGATAGACCTAACCTTCCAACATCATCTCTTCTTTGCTGAAAGAAAGGAATATTTTCAGATAGGCGGTCGACAATACGCATGAATACTTCCTTGTTCATGCGGGACCGGCGTCGAAATAAATGAGCTGGAAATGTCAGATCATCACTAAAGTAGTCACTCCATAGACGGTTGTGGCCTGATTCGCAATCTCCTTGGTCTAACTATCCGATTCTCCAGGATGTTGATGTATGAATCTTCAATATATTCATCGACAACCTCATCCAAAACTGCATATAATCTTCGATCGACTTCATCTGCCATATTTGACTATCCTTCAAATCAAATGAAGAAAGTTTGTTCAATTTTGTTGTTGTTACAAAATTGAAATTCTATAAAAATAAGTACATGAAAAAATGAATACTGAAACCCATGACCTTTTTCTTATAATTATTTAAAATTTGTATTAAGCATGAGATTATTTGTTTCCAAAAAGTATGGTAACGTCTTCTTAAAAGTAGGATTTTAACTGTTTGAAATAAGTTTAAACTCTAATGCTTTCTTGTAAGTTTCATGAAATTAGTATCAAAGTATTTGTTCATTATACATTTTATTAAAAAACGGAGTATTATTGAATTAAAAACCATACAAGTAGTTACTACATTTTATTTAAAAACCGAATGTTGTTGAATTAAAAACCGAGTGTTGTTGAAGTATTAAAGTATAAGTAGCAAAGGATACAAACTTGAGTACAAGAAAACTCTAAAACCAACAAGTTTTGAGTAAGATACAAACTTGAAACTGGCAAACTCTAAATTATTAAGTGATACATGTACATGTCCTAAACAATACAAACTCTAAACTTATTAAGTGATACATGATACATGTCGACTCAAACATGTAGCATCCTGTATTTTCGACTCTAAAACTCTTCCTAAACAATACAAACTAAACACGTACATAAACCAAACAAGTTTTGAGTAAGATACATGTACATAAACCAACAAATTCAATGAGCATACCTTACCAAGTAGAGAAATAAGTAGCAAAGGAAATAGCTTATAAAGGCAAGGTTTCAGTACAAGAAGAGCAAAGGAAAATCAGTGAGCATACACAACAAGTTTCGAGTACAAGAAGAGCAAAGGAAATAGCTCTTTAAGCCGAGTCTACAAACAGACTTATAAAGGCAAGGAGTATCTAATACAAAGAACCCGTGAGTAGGTTCACATGGAGAAACATGAGAAATAAAAAACAAAGCAAAGTAACACGTGAGTACACAAGGAAGAGACAACAGCTTTTGTCTTGTACTTTACCTCAAAGGGAGAAAATGAGATTATTAAACAAAGCAACAATATAAGAAAATGTGTACTAGACTTAGAGCTAATAACAAACCAACGATCATCACATCATTTCAGCAATAAGTTTCATTTTGAGAGCTAACTCCATCTCAGCGAGTGGTTCGATCTTTGTAAGCAAACTCTCAAGCAAATTTTGTCTAGAGATTTGTCTAGACACTTTAATGAAATTAAGCAGCTCAAAAGTAACAGGTTGGTACAATTTAATGGTGGTTTATTGTTTATTTATAACCTATAATTTCAAAGTACAAAGTAGATCATTTCAAACAAAAGTTATTGTTTTCAAATTAAAAAGAAACGGACTAAATTCATTTTCAGTTCAAACTGGTAAGTTTGAACTACAGAGTTAAAGAGGTCTAACTATGAAGAGAAGACGTCTGCTTATGCACTAAAACCCTCTAATGACAAAGAAACAAAGTAAAGATTTTATAAACTAACCTCAGAGAACTCTTTCAAGTTCAGAACACACGCATAGCCAGCATCCTCACCTGCACCTGAATATACACCAAACAGACCTATCAATATTTTGGAAAGAAAGTACAAACAACTATCAATGTTATTATACTTAAGTATACATATAAACTCACCTTAAGTTCCTGGCACTCTGAGAAGGTTTTCATGGTCGTGAACCCGTACTTTGAGCCTCTCAATCTCTTGTTGCACCCCCATAACCCATGGTTGTATGAAATGTAACCCGCCATTCTGCCAAAACATAAAAAGGTTTGTCAAAGTGCAAATCAATATGGAAGAACAACAATTTTAATATAAGAAACTACACTACAAACCTCGTAGTCTTTGCAGATGAAGTATCTTTTCCCAGGGAGGTAGTCGTATGTATCCTCTTCATCTGCAAAAATAATGAATCAAGAGTCTCCGACTTACCTTCACAACCGACGATCGCCAAATCGCCTTTTGTCTCGCCTCCAAGTTTTGTTTTCTATTTCGTCTTTCGAATGCGCGTGTTTTCTTTTACTCACGAGACATACCCCAAAAACGCTGCCAGCTCACTGAAGATTTGATCCTTAAAACCCATAACTAGGGACTCTTTCTTAAGCAAATCGAGACTTATACTATTATTAAAATGATAATAGACTAAGGATTAACCTTAAGGATTCCACTAACAGCCCGTATTGCGACTGCTCTGAGGAAGACTATGTGCTTAATAATAGTCATTTTCTACTCAGAGTTTGGTCTTCAAAGTATAAGTCTAAGACTTTCAAACACGGAGCCATACAACGCTCGATTAGTGTTATAATCTTACGGTTATTTATGATCAATCAAACTCTGAGGAGCTTAAATGTAATAAATTGAAAGCTGTGGGATACAGAGGGATTCATGTAGCTTTTCAGAAATAAAAGAAATTATCATTTGGATTTAGACAGCAAGTAGTTACAAAGAAAGACCAAACTACTATATTACTTCCTTTTTAGTCTGAAACTCTCACTCGTGGATAGTTCGAAAAGGCTTGTATGTCTTGACACTACTTATCAGTCCTGCAATGGATCCAGCAGCAGCTAGGAGCGAGACGATCAAGCACACCCAGCACAACATTTTCAGACCAATCCATCTAGGAGAGTACTTCTTAACCTTAGTCTGTGCAATATGCATCTCCACGGGGAAATAAACCGTTAAAGGCCAGAAAGAAGCTGCACCGATAAGACCCAAGATCGCGTTGAAGAAAGGGAATATCATAGCTACGACAGTGGTTATAACCACGTAAGCTGTCCTCCACACCAATCTGAAGAGGCTGATGTTGAATTTTCCAAGGAAAGGTATGTTTACTGAATACTCAGAAGTTATGAACTTGTTGTCAGGCCAGTTTCTATTGCATCTCTTCTCAACAAACTGGAAGATCGGCTGCGCAAACACCTACAAAAGTATGGTTCTTTTGTCATTAGCTAACAGGGAGAGGGTGCAATAAACCAATGTTTTCTCTTTTTGGTTTTGGGTTTTACCTGATAAGCACCAATAAGGTGGAAAGCAATGCAAGCGTTTGCAAAGTCAATGAGCCAAAAGGGCTCGTAAAACCCAAAATCTGTGAGGAAATCTCCTGGTGCTTTGTTTCCAAATGCAGCATAGCCGAGACAACCACATAATATGTAGAAGAAAGTGGTGGTTGATACTCCCACAAGGCTTGCTCTTTTCATAGATTTGTTTTCTGCTGGGCTAGATTTCAGTGTGTCCTGCAAAAAGTATCAATTTTCACTGGTTAGTGTATGTAAATCCACACTTTAATCCAGTTTTGTCTCATGGGCTTGACTTAAATCTTATTAGGCCGTCACTCTCAGTCGCATATACTAAATGTTACCAAATTCCGTAACACATATTAAATAGTGAAAAGTACAATCATTAGGAGACGAAAACTATGAGTTTTGATGTCAAATCAATAAGCTAAACTCAGTTGATAAGAATCCCTATATATTAATTGAGAAACATTTGAAAAATTGTAACTTGAATATTGTAATAATTAAAAAAGAGCCCATGCTTACGTGTCACTCAATTAGGTAGTCAATTACATTCAATTGAAAAATAAGTAGGTCCATATTCGATTTTTATATATCGCTAGATATATTTATTGGTCAAACTATATGATATGATATGATATTTATGATATAAGCATTTATGATTATTCTGCTAGATATAATTACTATTTTATTTTCTTTCCTTAAATAAAAGCTACGGAATTACCATAAATAACAAATATATATATATATATATATATATATATATATATATATATATATATATGACAATTAGTGTTTCTAATAATAAATATTTGATAACAATTTGTATCTCCTCCATCATTTTTCTTTAATTTTATATTATTAAAATAAATTAAACAATCAAATTAGCTATAAAATTAAACTTTACATTTTTTTCGTATATGTTATATTTTGAATTTAAAAAACCGAGAATAAATTACTAAAACTATTAAAATTATTATGTTAAAAGTTAATGATCAATAGCTTAACTTTTTTATTAGAAAAATATACATATGATTTTAAAACCATATGAGTAAAAAGTATCATTCAATAATAAAACAAATATATAACATATATATATATAGATTAAACTATATACCATATAAGATTACATCATTATTTTAATTTAAAAAATTTCAATGAATTTTCAAGAACATTTATAAATTATAAACGTATTAAATTTTTCACATTAAAATTTTTGTTATCAATGATTTAAATATATTAGTTCTTTTTTTTTATTTTATATTTTTAAAAGATATTAACAAAATCGATAATATGATTATTTTTGGTATATACCATACAAACCGAATGTATGTGATTTTATAAAAACCGTAAGATTTGGATATGGTTTGATTTATAACCGATTAAACTGAAACATGTAAATATGTATATCTATTTGTTACATGAGTTGAACTATAATTATGATTTGTAAATCACTTGAATCACTTGAACTATAATTAACTAACAATTCAATGCAACTGAGGCTTCTTATTTTCTTAGTATTTTTTGATCTTTTTTTCTTTTTTAATAATAACTAAATTGAAGTAAAAATTATAAATTTGATGGACAACAATTAGTTGAAATTCTTTACAATTTTTTTTAATCTTTAAACAAACAGAGTTGTGTTCAATCGAAGACATATTAATTTGATGAACACTAAATATAGAAGAACATAAAAAATTTTCTTTCATGCGTCTTTTTTGTTTTTATTTTTATTTTCAAAATTTAGAGATTTGATATTAATTCTAAATTTGATCATTTTATTAGATGATAGAAACCTTTTTTAATTCTTTTATTTAAATATATAATATTTTTTTAGTAAATGACTTTTTGACAATATGGCTCTAAATATGATCATATTATTTATTTTTATAATATATAATATGATCTCAACTAAATAATAATGTATTTTGGTATAAAATTGAATAAACTGAAAACCAATATTTAAACCAAATAAAACTGAAGTAAATATGGATTTAGAATAGTAGTTATATTTTAATAATCGAAATACCAACCCGATATCCAGATTGAACACCTTTAATTCAGATGAAACCGAACTTTTGTTTCATTTTCTAGAACATAATAAAAATAATAAGTTTATCCCGCGCAAGGCGCAGATCTTATTCTAGTTATATCATTATTTGCTGTGGAGAAGAGTTTGACAATGTCTTTGAATATGACATCTTGTCATTAATAACCACATGTTAATGTTATAACTTTAAGCTAAAAGACAGGTTCTCTTCTTTTTGACTCTTTTTAATAAAGCAAATAAAAGTGGTCCTGAGGGAATCGATTGTCATTGTCAATAATCTCTACCCACAATTCTAGCAAGAGGTTCACATTCAAAGCTACCAAGACTACATATTTGATATGAAAAACTTGCCTGAATCTCAATGAGAACCGTGGAGAATGCATATGCAAATGCAATGTCCCCAACCGCTTGGAATGATCTCCATATCTTCTGAGCCGCAGTCACATCAACTCCTACAACCGTGCCCGTCATATTCGTCTTACCCACTTTCCCACCTTTCATATCGTAACATATTAACCGTTAGTTTTGTAATTGGAACTTATAAAATAAAAAAATATGTATATACGTACAATCTATGTCTTGCTACAACTGTTGATATATGTAACATATTAACGTTCGTTTAGTAACTGTAATTCATAAATGGAAGATAAGATTTCATCTAATAAGTGCACCTAATGAAGATGGTTAGTAATTGCAACTTTGCTACTAATCCATTCTTTAAAGAATTGTATGTACCTGCGACGGTCGCAATGGCTAGGCCAATTCCAATAGTTGCGTAAGTGAAGGACATCACCGCAGCCATAAGGGAGAGAAAAGAGAGCTTGTGGAAGTTCGGGATCTGGCTAAGAATAATCTGAATGATCCCGAAAACTGCCATATATGGATAATTCGATATAGTACAGTCTGCCTCGTGCCCTTTCTTGTGGAAACAGTTTGCTTTCCCGACCGCTCTGCGCAAACACCATATCACCAAATTCACAACCACATTAATATCTTTGACAACTTGTAAAACATGCATGTAATCACCGTTATGACAAGAACAATAGATTATAACGGTTAAAGTATTATTCACGTATAGTTGACGTACACCAAACTAATAGAAGCAGTGATGGTGTAACCAACAGTGATCCCTATTAGATTCCCATACTGTGCCACTCCACAAAGCTGCACTTTCCTACCACCTGCCATATTACAATAATTGCAAAGCATTATATAGTCTATTATAATTTTTTTTTTTTGTCAACCTCCACGGAACTATATATAAATATATAATTCTCCATCAACATCCAAAACCAACAATAATGCTAATACAACCAAAACAGTTTGCCTCTTATGCCATGATATTCTTAAGTTACGGTTTCCTCGGGTTACACCATTTTGGATCATTATAAACAGTACACATTTTGAATTAACTACATATAAATATATCATTGGTGATTTAAAAAAAGTGTCAGCCTAAATAATTATTTCAAAACATAGTGTATAACTGGAAATTAAGGACGGGTACCAAAGTTAAGATAAAAGTCAATGTTTTGCTTAAATTAAATATGTAAGATTAAAATTCACAATTATTTTTCTGTAAACCAAAACTGCAGGGACTTTAGCAAACGCTAGTAATCTAACAATTTATTTACAAGGTGTCGAAATTATAATTGAGGAAGACAACATCGAAACTGTGAATTCAAGGAAATACTATAAAATCTAAAAATCCATGTAGTTCTTCCAAAATTTGAATCACAAGCACAACCAATTGGATGAACATGCTTTGATTTTATAACAAGATATCAAGGGTTATCTCTTCTGAGTCCTCTCAAATTTTATAATTATACCCACTATTTATGAACCATTATCATTTTATGATAAATTTATGAGGGCACCAGTTTTGTTTTATTTCAAATTGATGAAAAAGACATAATTGTCACTTATAAATTCAATCAACTTTTATATGTTTCTTTCAATATAAATGATGTTTAAGGATTTTTAGTTTTTTTTTTCATAATAAATAAAGTTTTTACTACTCTATATAAAATTTGGTGTTATCTGAAATTTGAAATTTGAGATGAATTATAAAATATCATATTTTAATAAATAAATTAATTAATTTAATAATATTTTTAGGTAATCAAGATTAACTAGGTGGCTTTCTGCACCATGTGCAA